GTGCTAATGACATGAAATTTTCACCAGATGTCGGTAACAACCCAAGTGATCCATACATACAAAGAAATCAAACCATAAATGTCCAGAAATGAAGTTAAGTATGTTAGTTTAAATCATGCTTTCTAGAATGAAGCACTTTATATCAGTGACCAAAACTCTCTAGAAACGCAACTTTTTCTACACTCAACTCTACTTTTCACAGAAAAGGGTGTTATGGCTGCAATCAGTATGTTTCATCATCCAAATATTCCTTTGACTGTGTGAATTTGCGTCACTGTCTTGTCTTGGCCTCTGAATGTGAGTGCAAATTAGCTGGAGAGCTTGTGTCAGCCAATCCAGTGATGGTGTAATTAGAAATGGTGGGAAATGATTCACCAATGCAACTAATTAGGCTCGCTGCCTCCGTCTTCTCCTGCATGGCCTCTTTGTTGAAGGTAATATGGCATTCAGTCAGATGATGCAGGACATGATTCACTTTGAGCTATTAAAAACTGGAGAATACTAGAATTGTTATTCTTTTAAAATGAAATTATGTTTAAAAATTGATTGACATATTCCCATGGATAAGTAAAGAGACAACTTGACATTCATGGATGTTATAGTTAAATTCTGTGTCACGATGCTTTTCTGACATTTTCAACTGGCAGAGGAAGTTTTGCATTCTTATGATTTTTTTATTTTATATTTTAAAAGGTGTTAATTCTGATTTTGAACCACAGTTTGTTGTGTTTATTAGTTTTGTACCAGTCTTCATCTGTTTTTACAGTGTCACAGTTGTTATATTGTACTTTATTATCTTTATTACGCTTTTAATAATTTGCTGCTCTCAGACTTTCTGTCTTTTATTCTCAGAGGAAATGTAGCTTTTCAATGTTTAAAAGGTAAAGATAATAGAAGACAATTATTAACATTTGTAGTAAAAAAAAGTTTAGATTTTTAAGGCATTTTTTGTTTTGTTCCTCTGTATGTTGGAGAGTTAATCCCAYGTGAAAACAAGAGCAAACTCGAAGCTTTTAACAACTGTATTACAAAATAAACAGATAACCATAAAGGGTATAATGCACAAAGAGAAGCAGATGATCTAACAATAATCTGAGGAAGAAAGACAACAGAAAAAACATATAATGATAAGGGGGGCTGGAGTAGAAACAGGTGGGCAGACGGCACATGGATGACAGATGTCAGGAGCTGAACCAGACTGCTGAGGACATCTAATGGTCAGAAGGAAGCAAGAACACTAAACAGCTGGATGAGAAGATGTTGTCTAAACGCAAAGCAAATTAAGAAAAATCAGACAGGATGATTTAAATCATCTGTTTCTGATTACATCAAGTCTGTGGACAAACATATGAAGTTCAAACGAGAYGATGTAAAAAATGTCAGGTTGGTGTCCCCACAAACCCAGGAGGCAGGGAGAAAGAGAAATCACACACAAGACAGGCCCTGGAGCAGTGTGGTTATCCTGACTGGGCTTTTCTGAAAGCAGACAAGAAACCCAAACAGGATTCCAGCCAACAACCAGGTGAAAATGAGACCCTAAACCCAGACCCAGACCAGTRGTCATTCCGTATGTTGCAGGAGTTTCAGTCCCAGTGGCTTTCAACCCCCAAAACATAATACAGCAAAGACTGGTTCACCTCAAAGACTGGTGCAAACAGAATAATGTTACTGTTAAGTGCCAGGGGGGCTGTGATCAGTTATACATCAGGGAAACAAAGTAGTCTGTTCAAAAGAATGGATCAACACAGAAATGTTACATTATCAGGCCAGGACTCTGCAGTCCTCTACAGAAAAGGAATGTGAAGTCTATACTTATCTACAGGCCAGGATTCTGCAGTTTACACTCATCTACAGGCCAGGATTCTGCAGTTTACACTCACCTACAGGTCAGGATTCTGCAGTTTACACTC